ATAGACTGCGGGTAGTTCTGTTTATCGAGCTGCTTTCAAACCCAAGCTATTATGTCCGTATGTGTTTCGAGGGAGCCGATCACACTCTTTCTGTTTCTGTGTTATTCCAGTTAACACTTAAGTCTGTTTGATTCCATTTATCTTGTAGTAAAAGGCGAGGCAAATGGTATGAACCCTAACTGGCTCTATACATTACCGCCTCAATACACCATCATCTTGGGCCACCTTAATTAGAAACCAAGCCCTTTAATCACAAGCCCAATAACCATCATCTTGGGCCACCTTAATTAGAACCAGCCCTTTAATCACATGGGCCACATACAGATTATTAAAATAATCTAACACAAGCTAATTCCAGCCTACTAGATTGGCAAGACTCGCACGGTTTTTGTTGTGCAGGTGAAATGAGAAACTTCGCAGGAGGTCACCCATCCTATAATTTCCGTTAAGCGAGCATGCTTAATCCTGGAGTTCTTTCAATTCTAGGTCATTCCATCAAAAAGCGCATTTGATGATTAGTTTCCCCTTTTAATATATGATCTGATTCATTCTTGTGCTCCGCATTCCACTATCTATAGCTAGTCTGCTATCCTAAAAGCTAGCTAGGAGCTTTGCTTTACCCGCCCTCTTAGGATCGCTGCCATCCCAGGCTGACAGCGTAGCAAAATAAAAAAAAAAAAAGATCCCTTTACTCCAACTTATTACCCCCCCCCCCCCCCCCACCCTTTTTCTCCAGAAACTTGTAACCTACCCCCCCCCCCCCCCAAAAAAAACACCTTTTCTCCCAAAACTGTAACCTAATCAGATTGAATTTTACCCATTGAATGATTGAATTCAAGTCCTTAAAGGTCTTTCTAAAAGATCTTGGATCACCTGAAACACTGAGTGAAAGGGATTGCATGGACGGAAGAACTTTGCAATGTTTGTCACTCCACTGAGAATGTTGTTGGGCTCTTCTTGACTAAAAATGAGAAAGGTAATCCCACAAGCTTAGTTTGGTCATCCCATAATTTCATTTTCCAACATAAGCTTGTCGGACAGATGGGTCGAATCCAAGATAAAGTCTTTGATATTTCTAAAAGAGGATATGAAGCCATTCATCAAAGGTCAGGGCATTGCTGGTATGATGATATAAGATTACCTTCTTCGTTTGAAGAGCAACTTGATACTGATATAGTTAGCTTTAAAGAGGATGTTGATGCAGTTATAAAATTATTGCTGAAAATAATCCACGCTACCTCACCATTTCAATTGTGGGTGTTAAAGGCATTGGCAAGACAAGGCTTATGAAGTTCATCCATAAAAGCCAGATTATTTTCAAGAATTTTCATACCGGATTTAGTTGGATGGATCAACTGAGGTTGGTATCATGGAAATTACATTCTAGGAACTTGGTTGTAGAAACACTTCAAAATTATATTATAATTTTAGAAGTGACACATACGAAAGCTACAAATACAGGTATAAGAAAGTTTTTAAATACTTAACTTAAAATCTAGTAGATATTAGAGTAAAAAGTATTTGATTGTAAAAAGTATCCTATGGGTATATAATATATATCACGATGTAAGGTGTTTGGAGGTATAGTTCAATCGTTCAATAGGTATAGTTCAATCTAATTTAGGTTAGAATTTTGTGGAAAATGTGTTTGGGGGAAATAAATTGGGGTAAAAGGATCTTTTCATTAATTTTACCACACTATTAGCCTACGTGAAAAAAATGTCAGTCTATATAAGCGGACACATGTGCATTTATGAGTCCCACTTAGTTTTATTATACATTCTAATTGTCCATGTCATCCAGAAACACCAAATTGAAAAAAGAAAATACAAGTTTGGACACTCAACTATCACAATTTTCCGTTCAGCCACCAAAATAAAAAAAATGATAAGTACACCGACTAAGATTAACATTATCCCCTTATTAAAACTACCATTTCTTTCATTTTTCTCCGATAAATATATGTACTTCCTTCTCAATAATAAAAATTGTAAATATAATATTTATCGATGAAAAATGCATCTAGATACGACTATATATGAATTAAGTCAAGTCGAGTCTTATCTAATTCAAGTATGATTTATTAAAAATATACTTCAATTTAATGTCGATTTATTTATAAATTATTATAGTTTAAACAATTAAAAAATTACGGGCATGTTTGACAAAATTAATTGTTTTAGTAGCTATTAACTGTTTTAGTAACAGTTAGTCGTTTGAGTCGATTTTCATAAAATGCTAAAAGTTAAACGTTATAGGAGTTAACTTTTTATAAAACGCTATTTTAACCTCTAAAAGCTAATTAAACTCTATTTTTTATATTGTTTGGTGACACAACATTTCAACTATCTTTTAGATATTAAAGTAGTGTTTCAACTATATTACCAAATATTATAAAAAGTAAGATTAATTATAAATTTAGTGTTTGGACTTTTTAAATTTTCTACTTTGTTGTTTGAACGGAGGACATTTGTAATCAAATATTTTAACCACTAAAAATTTTTCAATCAAGTGTCTCCGGGCGTACGTGGCATATTGAATTACACATAGGATGTGTAGGATATATTGAATATCATATATCTGCTAACTGGAATCAAAGATAGTGATACACTTAGGACTAATGTGAAAAAATATGAAAGAAATCTCCAAATCATAAAGTTGACCTTTTCTACTGTTTTTTGGCTGAAAATGATGCGGCTTGTTCTAAAAGTGTAGAACATAAATTTTGATTTTAAAAATTGAAAGAAGAAAACTAAGGGGTTGTTTGTTACCAATTTTTGTTTTTTATTTTTTATTTTTGGAAAACAAAAAACCATCTTTGATTTTTTATTTTTATTTTTTGAAAATTGTTTTGTTTTCTATGAGCTTTTTTTTTTCTTTATGTTGATATCATATTTATATTCAAAACCAACACATGTATATATATAAGACAGAAAAGAAAATATAATAATAAAATCATATTTTATTTAAATATAAGAAACCAGTCAAAGAGAAAATGAATTATTCTACTACATATAAAAATAATAATAATTAAAATTTTATCATAAATGTTGAGCTATTTGTCACAAATAATGATAGCTGGTGTAATGAATAATAAAAAAATTATAAAGTAAATTAAAATACTTTACAAATTCAGCTGCTCATGGATCAATTTAGATAAGATAACAAGGATATAGCAAAGTCAAATATAGAATTTTAAATTATCCAATTTGATACAGATTTCAACCTGATACAAATGTGTAGGAGGGAGAAGAGGAGACATGTATCTACTAAAGTCTAGTAGGGGAGAGAAAGGGAAATATTGTCAAAAACTTCTTTCTAATCAACTCTGAAACATATGTCAATTAACAAAAGAAATTTTTTTAAAAAAATTAGTCAAATCTCACTCAACCTACTCATCTCTCCTACAAAATTCTATAAATAAAAAATATACAGAAAATTAATATTCAAACCCAAAAATTAAAGAAGAAAACACCTGATTTAGTCATTTCTAGTGTGTTTTATCAAGTCCAAGCCAATAACATTGGAAGCTGATTATTTCTAGTTTTCCCTATTCTGAGAAAACAGATATCAATCAAAATCTATAAATAAGTGTTTAAAATGCCAATATTCATCATTCATTTTTCGATTCTAAAACAAAAATCTGTAACTAAAACTTAAAAAAAAAAAAAAGCAAAATATGAAACAATATGAAGAATCCATTGAAAAAAAAGGAGAAAAATTGATTTAGAATTTCTTTTTTAACCTTGTTTTTGAGCTTTGAAATTTTTTATGTCACTCCATCATCATCATTCAAAGCCACAATCTTCTTTTTCAAAACATTCTTTTTGTTTTCGCTCAACAAAAATTGAATCTGACCCGGATATACACTTTTGGTTCTCATTTGTAGTGTTAGCAACCAACCTAACCCTATTTTCCTTTTTGATTATAAACATCATGAGACGATGGCAAGGTTGATGATGGTGCTTGTGGAAAGATGATGGCTGATCTTTTCTGGATTTGGTGGAATGATTGAGTAAATAAGACGAGAATGAAGAGATTATGACATTGTTATGCTATCTTTCTATTTATGGAACAAATAGGCAAAATTGGAATTTGCTTTCTCTTCAACATGTGAGAATCACATGACTTTCATCCAAATCAACATATATGCTAATAGGCGCCAACTCAGTTGTTTCTTATTAGGAGTTTCGAGTCCAGCCGTGCTGATCACTATTTCAGTTAGTCACGTAGGATTTAGGTCCTTGATTGTAAATTTTTATAGGTTCAGACACTTGATTACAAATGCTTTCTATTTAGATACTACAATAGAAAATTTTGAGAAGTTCAGACACTAAATGTATAATTATCTCCAAAAAATAACGTTTAGTTTTTTATCAGTTTAAGAGTCTGTTTGGCAAATTTAGTTATTTTAGTAACTGTTAGCTGTTAGCTATTTGATTATCTTTTCATAAAATATTAAAAGTTAGACGTTACATGGGTTAATTTTTTTATAAAAGGCTACCTTAGCTAGTTCAAATGTTATGTTACCAAATATTATAAAAAATATTCACTTCGTTCCACTTTAATAAAAACATTTGCTTTTTTCACAAGGATTAAGAAAATGATTATAATTCATTGATTGTCCAAAAATATATGATAGAATGTCTAATTATCCTTCTTAAATGTGAATATAAAACTAAATTACACTTAATAAATATGGATAAAATTAAATAAATTTAATTAATATAGTTTCAAAATTATATATGAGCACTTAAGGTGAAACAAGATAATGTCTATTTGTTTCTTTTAGAGTGGAATGAAGAGAGTAGTGTATAGCCTCTTAAAAAGTGATAGTTGAATACATCTCAAAAATTATCTAAAAAAATTATCTAAAAGTTATTTAAAAAATTATTGTGGAATATAATCTATACATTTTAGGACTATAAAGTTAAATATATATATTTAATAACTTGCTACACAGTATCAAAATAAATAGATAAATCATAAACCAACTAACAATACTAATCCTCATCAGACCAATATTCCATTTCCATTATAACATACAGGTGTTTATCTCCCCCTGATTAGAAAAGAAGATTTGGCAATTCCATCTATGGAGATCAGGCAACTACAACCATCTTCAGAAAATGCTCAGTCAGATGCCAAAAGAGGGAAACCAACACGGCGTCGTTTCACCGGCGACGCTCACGTTCCCATCAACAAGCGGGTTCGGGTTCCTGCAATCTGCGTTCCCGCCATTTTCCATCTTAAAAAGGAACGTGGTCTCCGCTCCGACGGTGATATCATCCATTGGCTAATTCATGAGCTCCGACCCGAACTACTACCCGCTCCTAAACCATCCAACTCGCCTCGGAGTCGCCCGATTCGCAACTCCGTCAATGACTCTGTTCCAAAACCCGTCTGCATGGAGTACCTAAACGACGATAAGGTCGCTTCTTATCTTCCAGTCGCCTCCGGTACTGCTACGGCTAAGGGGAAGCCGGTCAGGGCGACTGTAGTTCAGGCCTCGACGGTGTTATTTGATACTCCAGCTACACTGGGTACTGCATTATCCGCTTTAGTTTCATTTTCAAGTCCTTTTTATAGTTTTAGAGGTTTATTATAGGGTTTAACCGGACTATTGATCTTGTCTACATTGAGTCAAGTGTCTTTGTTTTTTAAGAAATTTTTCTCCTTCTAAGCAGATAAGGCAGAGAGACTAATTGCTGGAGCAGCTGCTTATGGGTCACAATTAGTAGTGTTTCCAGAAGCATTTCTTGGTGGTTACCCACAGTATCTGACTTTTGATTCTGCAAGAGATGATTTGCAGAAGTATTATACTTCAGCAATTGATGTGCCTGGTGAGACCTCCTTCAATTAGAATTGGGTCATAGTTATTTGACCTTTGTAATTGGCCTATTTTTTAAGTCTATGCAGGTCCGGAAGTTGATTGGCTTGCAAAAATTGCTGGTAAATATAAAGTCCACTTAGTAATGGGAGTTGTTGAGAGAGCTGGTTGCTATCTCTTTAGTACAGTTCTGTTTTTTGATTCTCTGGGACAGCGCCTTGGACAGCAACGAAAGCTAATGCCAGTGGCATCAGAAAGTGCAGTGTGGTATTCTGGACAGAAATCTTCATTGCCAGTATATGAGACCTCAATTGGAAAGATTGGTGGCCTCGTCTGTTGGGACAATAAATCTCCTCTCCTTAGAACTGAATTATATGCTAAAGGTATACCTACCTCTTCTTGTTGTTGATTGTTGATTACTGGCTGTTAATGTTTAAGTTTTCTTTCTTGTTTTTTTTTAATGAACTTATTAGAGTTTATATACATTGTGGAATGGATCTCATTCTATATAATTGAGTTCTGTCCTGCTCTGCTAGTGTAAGAGTTAGTTAGCTAATCTAACAAATTGTATGTTCTTCAATTTTTTGCACCAAAAAAAATGTAAATAGGTGTTGAAATATATTGTGCACCTTCTGCTGATTCGAGGGAAATATGGAAGTCGTCAATGATCCATATTGCAGTAGAAGGTGGCTGCTTTGTTCTCTCTGCAAGTCAACTTTGCAGGAGAGACTACCCACTATCATTTGGAGATTCAAATAGTGATAAATCACTTGATGTTATAACAAGTGGCGGAGGTAGTGTTATTGTTTCACCATCCGGGACTGTCTTGGCTGGACCTAATTACCAAAAGGAGTGTCTTATCTCAGCTGATCTTGGTACGACTGGGTTCATCTTAAAATTAATGCATTTCCTTCCTGTTAAAAGTTACCCCTCTATTTCATATGTTCTGATAGTTGCTTAACACTACTATTCCAGACCTTTCAGAGATCAATCGAGCAAAGACAGAATTTGGTGCAATTGGGAACAACCTCAAGCCAGACCATGTTGGTTGGTGTGCAAGTGAACTGAATCCAATTTTACTTGCAACAGATATAAAAATCGAAGATCCCAATGACAATGAGCTTTCAGGGTGACTTGGCTAGGTAGAAAATGTTGGGTGCAGAAATTAACTCTTTCTAATCATACTAAGGGTAATGTCGAGTCTACATTTTGCTTGTAATTAGTTTTTTGTACAGTTTGATGTGTAAAAAGTTTGGGTAGAGATTAACTAAAATATGTCTAGGGTTAGGGTAACTGAACGTGAATATGATGTATGGCTAATAGTTGCCTTTCTGGGCAATTTTGATGTGCAAATTGTGCTTTTACAAGTTGTATTAGCTTATGGGGGATTGGACTATAGCCCAGTGGTAAGACTCTTCTGCCACTTTCACAGTGGCGAAGGAAAATTTCAATCATGGAAAAGTCTGTGGGATTGTTTGGAATGGAGGAAAACAGAAAACAAGCAATCCTTTCGTCTTCTACTGGGCCCATAAATTTTTATCCTTATTATTGACAGCAAAATCATATGGCTTTTTTGTCAACACAAACTACCATAATTACCTAAGTGCACTTTTCCTTCTCAGTTTCCAAACAAGTGCTCAATTTTCGGATATTACATTATGCCTGTCCATATTATGTTTTCAGCCCCTTTTCTTGATTTAAACTACAGATGACAGAAGTTCACTTCTCATATCCTATTCTGATCATGCAAATTTAAATATGGGTTGCAAAGACAAAATTAAAGGACAGTGAAAACAATAGAGAAGAAGAAGACACATCACAGGCTCATGGAATACATTAAATGCTTCTAGCATGTTAAGACTCAATTGCGCCAGAAGTTTCTGTACAGGAGAAACTTGGCTGAAAGATCACAACCTTCTACAAGAACTCTATAAACACAACTGTTCTTGCTAATTGCCAAAAGTCAAATTCATGCTTTAGCAGCGATTGCTGCAGCTTCAGCTCTGACGATTGCAAACCAGCATAAATTATCAAAAACATTACCTCTCACTGCCTATTCTTTTTGCACTAGGCCTCTCAGTCGATGCCTCAGAAACTAGTCCACTGTCTTGTTCACCATTTGGATTTTCTTCCAATTACACCCTCACCTAGCCTTGATTTTGAAGCATTCCCTGGCGCTGTTGGAGGTCTATCTTGAATTGCATTGTTGGAATCTCGGGAAGGCCGCTGCCCCACTTGCCGTGTAGGACTAGCATATCCTCTTGCAGAATCTACTCTAGAACCAGACAACAAATAGTCCCTGAGACCTTTAACTGATTGATGCCCAAGCATTTCATCTCCGTAACCTTTTCCTTGCAAATGCCTTTCAAGTTCAGATAATCCTCCCCAGTCTATCCCATCTCCTGTAACTGAGAGCCTCTCATTTTGTGCGCTCCATTCAACTCCATCTGATATGCTCCTTTGCAGAGAAGTACTTCTTCTAGGTACTTTGCTGGAGGTAGACTTCCTCCCTTTGGTTTCTTCTTCATCAATTGCTGCCTTTCTCAAATCACGAGGAGTTCCAGAAGGATAAGTCCATTTGTAGCTCTTATTATTGTTGTCCATATTCAATTCTATGGAATGAAGATCACTTTCACCCGAGTCATCTTCACATTCTAAGCCATCTTCTACTTCTCCTCCATCATCCTCATTTACTTCATTTTGATGGGCCACAGGACGAGATTTATTTAAATACGCTACTATATCTTCATCATTCATATGATAAGAACTGCGACCTTTTTCTTTGCTTCTTTTGGTTCCTAAAAAAGCTTCAAGTTGACTCCTCAGTTTGTCCACAGCTGCATTCTTCTCCTCGAGTTGGTATTTAGCTTCTGAAAGTTTCATCTGGACTCTCTCCTCACGTAACACATCAGCCAACTGCAGCATCTCTCTTTCCTTCTCAACCTCTGCACAGAGTTTTACGGATTCTCTCTTAAGTTCTTCAACTTCAGCTTTATCTTCACCTATATCCCTGGCTAGTTCATCACATACTTGCTCCATCACAACCCTTGCTCTCTTCTCATTCTCAAGCTCTTTCACTGCCTTCAACAGAGAAGACTTTGTCTCAGCTAGTTCCTTCCCAAGCTTCTTGTTCAAGCTTTCAAGCCGTCTCCTCAGCTTCTTCTCTACCTCAAGTTCCCCAGCAATGGACTCAATAGCAGCTGCAACCACTTTTTGCTCCTTGTTTTTCCATGCTGCCTTTTCTTCAGCAAAGCACTTCATTAAATAGTTTAGCTCATTCTGATCCGAGCGCTGTTCTTGGATAAGATGATTGACTTGCAATCGAGCTCTCTCAAGCTCAGCATGTAGGGCTGAGATGAGAGACATGCTTGATGAAGGCCGATCTTCATTTCCCCACACACGGTTGATAATTTTAAGTAGTTCTTTAGACGTTGTCAATGCATTACTGACATCCTTCAAACGAGTCTTACTTCCAACTATAGATCCATTAGGAGTTTGGGCTCGAGATCTAGTTTCAATCTGCATCATGAGAGAAAACATAAATAAATATTCACAACAAAAATATCAAATTTTGCTATTTATATACTTTGATACCATTCCACCGTAGCTTTCACTTAATAATGCTAGTTAAAATCATCTGTAGAATTATAAATTTAAAAAATAAAATGGAAAAAGCTATGATAAAATGGGTCAATCCAACAAATATATTAAATAAGTTGACTGATTATTTTACATTCAAAACTTAATTCATACATACCTTAAACACTACAAAAAACTCGGTGATCATACAATGCTTATGCATGTCATTTAAATAGTCGAGAACTTTCTATGTGTTGCAATTTCTTATATAGCACATTACAATTGTAACCTAAACCTAATTGATAAGTTTTGTACTAATTCAAATTAGCTATCTTTTCTTTTAACATTTCTAATTTAAATATCATGTTGTATTTCAGAATATAGATTACTTGAGCCAAAGTGTATATAAATACTGATATATCCATTAAATTGTCTTACAGTAAATTAAAAATCAGAAAGAGGAAGAGTATTATGAAACGTGTACTTTTAACATAATTAAATATTAGATTAAAATACAAAACATAAAACAAAGAAATTAAGATGTTTGCTAAATGACAAGTGCCAGCGGAAAAATGTAAAGCATTTACTATCCAAGAGCCAATATGCAACACATCCAAACTACTTGTGTTATTAATTTATTAGCCTTAAGTACCTCCATTAAACTGGCATTGCTAACAGAATCAAATGCTCCAACATTGTGGTCTGTGAGCCTAAGCCTTTGAGAAATTGATAATGCTCTTCTGTGACGACTACCAGTTCCAGATCGCTCCATCCTCTGGAAAATTATCAATTATCAAACAGGGTAAAAAAAAAAATAATAAATAAATAAATAAATAAACAAAACAAAACGAAGAAAAAGCAGTTTAACTTCATGTATTACCAACAAATAAAGGAAAATAACAAATTATGTCCAGCTTGGATACAATGGCTACAATCCAGTGCCTTCATACCCAAATTCGATTTTCCATTAAGATTGCCCTACACTGTGATAATACGGAATTAAACTCAACACTTATAGAAGCCCTAATCCATGAACATAATAGCACTAGCAGCTCGAGCAAGGTTTCTAAATTCTACGGCCTCAGCAGTCAACATCAAACAACACACTGCAGGAACAGATTTGGCATTCTAAGATCTTTATCTCCAATCAACACAAGATGGGCACATGTTAGCCAAAGAAGCACTTAAGAATAATTTATGTATGAATCCTCAAATTCAGATGAGTTGACTGAGAGGAAAAGCCCTCGCCTGCTAACAGCTTCTCATCTGTTTGTATTTGCTTGTTTAGTGGAATGCAATTATCTAGTTATATTTAAAAAAACAAAAAAAAAAAAAAAAATCAACATAAGCCCTATTTATGTGTTTTCAAACCAAGGGAAGCTTCAATTTTGTTTCTGTTATCAGAGAAACAAATGATCAGTAGAAATAAAACAAATAAATCTTCAAACCTTTTTCTTTTCCTTCTTAAAATTTCTTCTCTAACAAAAACCTCAGGGTTTCTCAACCAACCCATGATTCCAAAACCAAAGTTCTTTTCCACTCCTCTATTCCTTTACCTAACAAACTAATTGTACCATTTCCTTTGTTTTCCTTTTTTTTTTTTTTTTTTTCTCAGGGTTTTTCTCAACCAACCCATGAATTCCAAAAACCAAAGTTCTTTTCCAACTCCTCTATTCCTTTACCTAAACAACTAATTGTACCATTCCTTTGTTTTCCTTTTTTTTTTTTTTTTTTTTTTGTCCATTTTTCCTTTTCCATCATTCCATACCATTCTTCTGGCGTTTCTGCTTTGGTAAAGCAATAACCAAATTTCTATTGGGGATCAGTGATCAAAACAAGGAGAAACCAAACATTTCTTTTTTTTTTTTTTTTTTTTTTGTCATTTTTCCTTTTCCATCTATTCCATACCATTCTTTCTGCGTTTCTGCTTTGGCTAAAGCAATAACCAAATTTCTATGGGGATCCTATGATCAAAACAAGAGAAACCAAACAGTAACAGATAAACAAGAAAAATGATAAAAACCCACCTCTGATACAGGACTATGAGATGGATCAGACAAATGGGGAGGCAAAGAACCCGAATGCACAGACCTGGTCGCTTTCTCTCTAGCTCTCGCCTCCTTCCTTAACCTCCTCTCTTCTGAACGCACCATTTCTTTCATTTTCGGTGACGGCATCTCATTCATTTCCCACAGCGTCGCCGCCAGCTTTCTCGCTGAAACTGGGGCCGCCTGCTGCTGCTGATGTAACTTCCCCTTGATAACGCCGCCGTTTTGGGACGCAGCGTACTTTGGAGAGTCCATGGCCCGCAATGCAGATGATGGAGTCCTCGCCGTCCCCATCAGCTTCCACGTAGGCACAGGCGTACTGGATCCACCCCTTTTCCCTACTAAAATCGCTCTCTTGAATCTATAGTTTTGAATAATGGAAGAAGAAGATGACGCTGAAGAAGAACACCCACGTTTCCTGATTTTTCCAGGTAGCAATTCTTCCATGGCGGCCCTGCTTTGCCTTGGCATTATCTCTCTTTAAAGTTCCCTCTTTAGATCTCACCAATCTATAAAAAATAAACACAAACCCAAATGAAAAAAACTTAATTAAACCAAAATCTTAAACTTTTCCATCTGTTAAACCAACCAAAGCTCTTGATAACAGATTCTTCAATATAAAAGAAAACCAATTAAAAAGTTAAGAAACTTAAAAGGAAAAAGAACTATGGCTTACTGTTTAGGTTCATCTCACGGGTCCTTTGATTTGGATAATAATGAGAAAAAATTTGAAAACGAGAGAGATGGGATTGGAGTGTGTTTTGAGAGGGACGAATTGGGAAATGTGAAAGGCAGAGAAAATGATAATGCAGAGACTGATTTTGAAGAGAAAAATGAAAAGGAGAACCCTAAAGAGATTTGATTTGAAAGCTTTTTCTTTTGTTTTTTAGGTTTCTGATGGGTTGCATTAGTTCTACTTCTAGTTTCTGCTTCGATTATGACCAGTACAGACTGTATACTGCTACTCTGGAGGCGTAAAGTGAAGGAAAGTGAAGAGTGATAATCATGTGCAAACGACGCAAGATAAGCTTCGATACGTGTTGAATCCTTATACGTTACATAATATTTTAGACCCCTAAATAAAACGTAATTGAGGCGAGCAAGCTGCTCAAATTTTAGTTTATCTTGGAAAAAACTAATTTTAATATTTAACTTATAAAACCATTTATATTCAAAAAAAATTATAAAACCATTAAAATATTTATAATTATAGCAATTTATAGTTATTTAACTGATAAATATAAAAAAATGCATAAAATGATAAATTTTGATAGTGGTTGATAACAAGTAATAAGTGGTGATGGCTACCGTGATCAATAAATTAATAAATTTGTGTTTTTAGATTATAATCATTTTGTAAGGTCCAAAAAATATTTTTTCTTTTGAAAATAAAAAAATTATTTGCCTTTAAATTAACTTAATTTTCTCTTTGAAATTTTTCATTGACTAATTTTCTTGAGCATCCCACATATACAAAATCTAAAATAAATTTTTTGCTTAATGGATAAATATACCATGTAGTTTGTAAGAAAAACTTTACTATACCTTTTAACTTTTATTTTTGATCTATCGAACACTTTAACTTATAAAATTACACATATTACATACTTTAGCTTATGAAAATTTTTCTAATTCTAAAATTTGATCAATTAAGCATGTATTGAATGGTTGAAAATATGAAAATTATTATTTTAAAGTTTAGTAATCACACATTAAATTAATATTTTGTAAATAAAAATTAAAAATACCAAGAAACAATTGTTGCTAATTTGCAAAAGTGTGCAATGTTATGAAAATTCTTAACTTTATTGCCACAACATATCTCTTGCAAAGTTCAGGATGGCATGATATTTTTTTTTTTTTTGGATAAAAATAAATTCACCTATAAAGTTTTGCACTTTAACTATATGGCACCTTAAAATTAGTAGATGATCTCTTGTACACTTAAATTTATGATATACTTATGCATAAAGTTCAAAGTGTCACAGAATTAAAATTACAAAATTAAGACGTAAATTTCTATATTCCGCTATTTTATTAAAATACACGAGGTTTAAATATACATTTAGAGCCCATCTGATTTAGCAATTCATATTAGTTAATAGTTGATAGCAGTTAACTGATAAGTATTCGTATCTTTAGTAACAGTTACTTATGAGGTTAATGGAGTCCAAAAATAATACATAAGTATAAATCAGCCCGTTGATAAAAAAAGCTTCAAAATGTAAGTGATAGAATCAACAACAACAATAAATCAAGACTTTTATAGCTATCAGTTAGTTATTACAAAGTTTATCAACTCTTAAAACCTCACTATTAGATAAAATTAACTATCACCTGTATAAATCGGCTGATCCAAATACAAGCAGAATAATATTATGAACTACACAATAAGGAGTAGCTCTCTTATTTGAACAATATTCAGTAAATTGATCACCAATACCAATCAAACTATAAGTGACCGGCAAAATCTTGATATTTTTAAGATGGTTCAATATATAAATTCACCCTTAAATCTTTTATGAAAAACCTTTTAACTTTTACTTTTACACATTTAATATTTCAATTTATAAAATTTGACCCGTTAAACATTTTATTTAACTTGCTGAACATCTAAACTTGTAAAATTAAATTGATGGAATACTTATTTAGTTAAAAGTATAAAAATTATTATTTCAAAAATTGTATTAACCATTTATCAAATTATTATTTTGCGTATTAAAACTAAAAGCCTTAAAAATTATTATTTTTAGTATAAAGATGTGTGACATTATTACGAAAAATTGAAGCTCAGGATGCCACAAGGTCGATTCTAAAATTCATACAAACATAGGATTTTTTTTTTACCAAAGTTCAACAATTTTTTGAGTATTGAGGGAGAGAGATTCAAACCCAGATCTATTACCGGGTCATATATACACTTACCACTAGACTACGCCTTAGTGTGCACTAAAATTCAACAATTAAATTATATATTATTGCCAAAATTTAAGGATTAAATTATATATTCAACCTTTGGATAGCATATACACACAAAATAAGTTAATACACTAAATTCGAAAAGCTTTAAATAGAAACCATGAAGTGGAGACCTTTACTATTAGATTAAAAATTACCATCTAAACAAAAAAAATTTATTTATTAGATATTACTCTAATAGATATATATTAAAATCATCCTAACATTTTTAATTCCACATCCACGTATGAAAAAGGTAACGTGATTTTTTTTTAAGGAAAAAACATAATGTTATTGACAAGTTTACAGCACTATTGGCTTTTCTTCTTTTCTTTTTTTTTATTTATGCTCTTATAATAATGTTATCTACTAGAATAAATGGATTATAATATTTACAAAAAAGTTTGAAAAACTTTATGCAAGTATTATCATCCGAAATTGGAAACACATATCAAAAAATAAAAAAATCTCACCATATACCACCTTATCAAATCTCATCCATCCAATCAACAATTGCCAGCCATTAGTCTTGCCATCTTGACCAAAAGATTTGCAGTCAACCCTTTTCTACTTGCAATTTTTTTTTTTTTTTTTGAACTGTTTATTTCCAATTCAAAGACCTTAATCACATGCTCCAAAAAAAAAAATGATAATAATAATAATAATGGACCCATGGCCCACCGATAGTGGGCTTCGTACGCAGAATGTTTTTTTTTTTTGGATGGGAGAGGTTTTGTTCGAGAATCTAAGTCACACCATTCTATCAAATCATAAATTAATTAAAATTTATTTTCAACATATTAAATAGGAAAAAGACTTCATGTAAAATTTTATATCATTAGTGGTCAGTTATCACACAATTTCTAGGGCTGGACACAAATTAAAATTTAACATATTAGGTTTGATTTTGGTTTTAATAGGAAAAGCCAAAAAATTTTTTTTGATTCAATATGGTTTTTATTAATTCTAAAAAATAAGTCTAAAAAAGTTAAAAATTATATTATTGGTGTCAAAACTTTTTATTTTTACTGTTTTAATATTTGAACGGAAAAAGTTTTTGAAAAATAACCTATAACATAATAAATCATTTATGAAATTGAAAAAGTTGAGGAACAAAGAGACACCAGTTCATCCATTACTCTACCCTTATATAGTAATCCATTAAAATTAAATGTTCCATATTAAATTGCTAATGTGTATGTGTAAGTGGAAGATTGAAGATTCATCTTTTACTTATGTTTATATTAAGATTGAATTAATGATAATATAATAGTTTGATTAATATATTTATTGAGAAAAAAAATATTAAAATAAGAGTAAAATAATAATTTCAAATATTATTCATTTTTAAAAAGGAAAGATAGACAATAAATCGTGACAGCGAAAAAGAAAAATATAACAAACATTATGGGAATGATTTTTTTTTTTTTTTTTTTAAAAAAAAATATTAAATAAAGTAAAGATAATAATTTCAAATACTTAATTCATTTTTAATATAGGAGAAAGATAGACAATAATCGTGACAGCGAAAAAGAAAAATATAACAAAAACAGTAATAGGGGAATGGGAGTTTTTTTTTTTTTTTTTTGGCAACCACATAATGCACAAAGTAAAGTGGGCGTTTTTTTTTTTTTTTTTGGCAACCACATATGCAACAAGTAAAGTGCGCCCTAACCTTTAATACCAACAAGGAAATAACACTTATGTCTATTTAATGAAATATGATAATATCATAACTAGTGATGGCAACAGATCGGGTATCCGTTTAAAATGCACTATTTAAATTTGAACCTGACTATAAATTAGCTATCTGAACTCATTTCGAACCCGTTTAAAAATTCATCTTTAATATTCAATTTTAAATCCGATTATAATTGCCGCTTAAATATTTGAATCCATTTAAATACCCATTTATCATTAAATTTTTTATTTTTTAAAAATAAAAAAGTAAATAAAAATTATAAAATTATTATTTTAACTTAATAAAAAATATAATATAATTATAGCATTAATTATAATAAAAAATGTTTATTTTTATAATTTTCTTTTAAATATTTGGGTTAGATCTGAGTTAGGTTGCATTTGGCAATTAAGACATAATCCTAATTGTCATTTTGATCATATCTATTTTTCTTTTCAATGTAAATTTCACTTTTCTAGATTTGATTTATGTCTTTTATATAGAAAAGAAACGCAATCTTCAAAAATTTTAAAATTGTTATCTTTTTTAAATATTATTATTTTATTCTTTTTTTTACTAAAATAATATTATGATTGTATTCAGCAATAGCTTTTTAGGTAGTTTTTAGTATTTTCATTGGTCAAAAAGCTAAATACTACTTAAAAAACTGTTCAATAACATAATATTTGGAATCCATTTGTCAATTGTGATTTTTATATATTTACTATTAAGATCGGAATTGATAAAAAAATTAGTAATTTTGTGCTATTATGATAAACAAGAATGTCAAATTATAATCTCATCAGAATTGAAATCAATAATTTAAAAACTCAAATAATTGATTTGAATCTCGATTTCAAACTTCATCAGTCAAAAATCCGCGATTCCTATAATGTAAAGGATATTCGAAATTATGCAGAAGCTTTCCATTCTTTTCAACCCTTTGTAAATAGAAATTATAAGGAAGAATATTCATTTTTAACATTTGATATTTTGAAAACTACAAATCAAATAATAAAGTATGCCAAATTAAAAATCTATTTAAGTGAATGAAACAAAACTGCAATGTAAATTCATATATCTTTTGCAAGAGAAACTCTGATTATTTGCTTTGTCGTTTAAGTCGGAACATTTATGAGTGAATAGCTTGATTTTTACTTAAAGTACATATTCCTTTTTTTATTGGAAATAATCCAGAAAACAAAAGAATTTGGAATCTATCACTTACTATTGTCTTGATGGAATATAAACCTCCAAAATGGCAAGTAGTGGGCTAGCTGTATACTAACTTTAGTATATATGTTTACGCAATCACTTGCTGTATATGGACAGAGATTGAAAGTGGTACCATTTGCAGGCTACAAGACCGGACTACGAAACTGCCAATTAAGTGTTGTTTTGATTGACTTTTGTATTTTTGTAAAAGGTCTCACCTTCTGAGTCTTATCCGCTAAGGGTTTTCCAAATTTAGTAGATAAAATGTAAGCTGACCACATATTGTGCAATTTACAACGATCTTATTGGTTGGTTGGACTTCTAATGAATAAAGAAAAAAAAACATGTATTTCTCTACCTTTGATAGAGATAAGATATCTCTATATCATTTTTTAATCTGAAACTAAACTCATTTCGTATGAATCATATTTTTAATTTAATAGAGATGATCTGCAGAACTCAAATGTACCTTACTACTTAGATTAATTTTGGATAATTATTTTTTGATAGCATTTAGTTAGGGAAAATTTTTATCTAGAGTGGGTCCATCACCCCATTTATAGATCAAACTAATGAGAATAAGGTTTTTTATTGAAACGAGAGTATTTCTGACCATACATTGAAAAAAAGAATAAAATCGGAACATCTTTTAAAAAATTATTACTGTCATTGATTTGGTCCATAAGCGTGACTACGGACAAGTACTTTCCTTTGGTTACCGAGTTCAATTTTTCTATAGAAAATATCTATGAGAAAGTAAAATTTCAGAAACGTATGATAGAAAAATTAAATATTTTGTTTGCAGGATCATAAAAATTGTGAAAAATTTAGTAAAAAGAAATATATTTTGAAAAAGTAGTATAATTGTTATGATAAATGTTATTATTATATAATTTAAAATGTCTGAATCTAATTTTCTCATTCTTTGAGACGAGAAAGTTCTTTGTACACGCAGTTACACCTTGATAAATTAATAATTTTTTTTAAATAATACTTTTTCCGGTCTCAACTTGGGCCCATTTACAAAATTAATAAGATAGTAATTTTATTAAGTTTTAGTTATATATATATTATTTAAAATTAATTCACGAAATATATGATACATTAAATTAGTGATATACAATATTTTTTATGTAACTAAATTTTATTCGCTGAATGAAAAAAATACACTTTAAATTGAAATATTATTAATTTATCAATTAATTAATATCCCTCTAAATTAATAAAATTTTATGGTCCCAATGTTATTAATTTATAGAAGTTTACTTATATAGAAAAATAAGGATGAAATTTAAATTGAAATTTAATATTTTAAGGAAAATATATCGTTACATATTTTTTCACAGATTTATGCTTTTTTTTTTTAGATAAATCAGGTCTATAAAGTGAAAACGCTTTTAAGAAAATTTTCTTTATTTAAAAAAAAAAAATCGAACACTCAATTTTTATTTAAAGAATTTAAATCTTTTTTCTTTATAACAACTTCGACGGTGGATTGATAAAGTTTACACCTTTATGTATGATGTATGATAGGTTAATTAATGAAATGCCAATTGAGTCTATTTCGATTTTTTTTTTTTTTTTTTTTTTATTGTATGATGTTGATAGGTTAATTAATGAAAATGGGCCAATTGGAGTCTATTCTCGATTTTTTTTTTTTTTTGAAGCGAGATTTTTTTTTTTTTTTTTGAAAGGAGTTTATTTCGAATTTATACCTTGACTTGACATCTGATTATATTAAGGAATATTATTATTAACCACACCTATCTCAATCATTTTCCTTTTTTATTTTATTTTTAAATTTTTTTTTTTCAAATTCTAGCTAACGAGCAAGTGGATAGTCCAACAACTTGTCTATATTAGACGACTAGGCATATGTTGCGTGGACTCCATTTATTATTTATTTCTAAGAATTAAAAATATTAAAAATGATGGAAGATAGTTTGATCCAGTATTAATTGGCTGGGACACGAATTTAGTATTTTGATTCTCTTTAACCGAGAGATATCTCATCCAATCGTTAAACGAAAGATAAAAAGAACAGCTTTGATTATATAAAAAAAAAATTAATAATCTTTATTTATAAATTTAATTATATTCCTAAGAAGTATGATAAATATTATTATTCTAAAACTTCCCCTAATTGTTAAAATCTAAATCTTTAACTTAGATATTTGAATCAAATAAAAATTGATAAATTTCAATATCCATGATTTAGGTGTCACGTTATTTTTTTTGTTCAACTCTTCTTTTGTAATTTAGGTTCTATATTTGATTTACACATAAATGCACTAAAATCAATCTTCAAAATATTTGAATTTAGTAAAAGATATTGGGTATTTTAAGAGATGACAAATTTTGATTTATGAGTAAATTTTAAATAATTGGCCAATTTAAAATCTGAATTTTTTTTGCAACAGTGAATATTCCTAGAGTTTAGAACTATTTTCTAGATATTTGTTGAATAAATATTCCTATTTTATCTATTTTCTGTTGAGATATGAGAAATGGGAATAATAATAGATTCAAATTGCCGATAATTCAAATTTGAAATAGAAAATCCCATAAATCAGAACTTACCCAAAAATAAAAAAAAATGGGTGATTCAAAAATGGTCGAGTAATAATAATTTTAAGAATAAGATAAATGCAAAAAACCAAACGATCAAAGAATAAGCTCTTTCAAAACGACAAAGAGGAAGAAGAAGTTCTTTCAAACGACAAAGAAGAGGCTGTTAGTGTTAGGAAAAAAGCTAATGACTTTTTCTCTATGCATGTCATGTGGTGATGAGTATACCTGAAATTATATCTATCTATATATATATATATCAATTCCAACCTCCATATGCTTGTTCTACACAAGCAATTGAATCTCTTCTTTTTACCCTCTCTCTCTCTCTCTCTCTCTCTCTCTCTCACAGAAGTTTCTTTTCACTTTTGTCTATATAAACCAAATTTCTCACCTGCTACACATTAGATACCAGTACAGTTTTCCAAGATTAATTAGAAACAATGAAAACTTTCCTCTTCTTTCTATTGCTTTTTAGTATCTCATCAGCTAATTTCACACCAAGATTCCCTTCTCCAAGCATTCAATCACAGAAAACCTCTCTTTCTTCTTCTACCTCAAATGGGCTTTACAAAGAAAAATTCTTTACTCAAGTTCTTGATCACTTCAATTTCAACCCAGAAAGCTACCATACTTTTCAAGAAAGATATTTGATTAATGACACATTTTGGGGAGGCCCAAAAAAGAATGCTCCAATCTTTTTGTACACAGGAAATGAAGGAGACATTGAATGGTTTGCTCAAAATACTGGGTTTATGTTTGATATTGCTCCTCATTTCAATGCCCTTCTCGTTTTTATTGAGGTAATTCAAATCTTGATCTCTTTGAAACCTCTTATATAATAGAAAACTTCATAGTTTTATGTAATTAATTAATTAATTTGCAGCATAGGTTCTATGGAAAATCTATACCTTTTGGAGGAGATAAAAAAGTTGCTTACAGCAATGCAAGTACTCTTGGTTATCTGACTTCAACTCAAGCACTAGCTGATTATGCAACCCTAATGACTGATTTAAAGAATAATTTGTCTGCAACTGAGTCTCCTGTGGTGGTTTTCGGAGGTTCCTATGGAGGAAGTATGACATTTCTTGTTGTCTTTATTCTGTTTAATTAATTAATTATTTATAATTTTTGATGATTTTGAGATGGGAAGTTTGAGAAATTAAATAAATTTGTATTTTTCTTGGTTTTGCAGTGTTAGCAGCTTGGTTTAGGTTAAAATATCCTCATATTACTATTGGAGCTTTGGCATCTTCTGCTCCAATTCTTGGCTTTGTGAATATCACTTCTCCATACAGCTTCAATAGTATTATTACTAATGACTTTAGGGTAATTTCTCTCTCTCTCTTAAATTTGCATTTTCACTTTTCTCCATATATTAAATATAGTAGCTAAAAGACATTATATATTACATCTTCATTTTCTATATGTAATAGCTAAAAGACATTATTAGGACGATGGCATTTAAGATAAGGTCAATTTTCAACCACATAAACCAATATTTGATGCCATTAGATAAGACTTTACTTCCTATATATCTTTACATATTTTTTAAACATTTCAATTATTATTTTCCTTAGCGATTATAATATAAATTAGAGCTCCATCTTATTTTTTTTTAATAAAATTATGAAAATATTTTAAATTATAAAAACTTCATATATTTTGTAATTTTATTAATAAAATATAAAAAAACAAGTGATCAATCTATATATGTTAATCATAGTCTATATCGGTAACTACTGTCATAAATAAATTGAAAATGTATTTATTAAATTTTTTTATTTTGAAAGTATTTTCTAAAAAGAGCAAGCATTTTTCTTTAAAAATTATTTAATTTATTGTTTTAATTACGTGTGGAAATGGAAATCAGAATGAGAGCGAGAACTGCTACAAAGTAATAAAAGGATCATGGCAAAAAATTGAAGACACAGCAAGCCAACCTGGAGGACTTGAAAAGCTCAGAAAAGCTTTTAAAATATGCAAGTAAGTCCATTTAAATATATGTATATTTGCTTAGGTTTCTCCAATTAATAATAATTAATTAATTAATTATTAAATGCTTTTTCTTTTTCTTGTTACAGGAATTATATTAGTGCAGGATCTTTGGAGAGTTGGCTTTACACTGCATGGACCTACACAGCCATGACAGATTATCCAACTTCGTCTAATTTTCTAAATCCTTTGCCACCTCATCCAGTCAAACAGGTACCAATTAATTATTTAATTCATTTTTTTTATAAAAAATAAATTGGAAACAAATAATTAATAATTTTCTAATTGTTGGAATTATTGGCTCAATTAAATAAGTTATTATAATTTTTTATTCTATTAATTGATGATCCTTTTTTTTTTATATCTGAAATGTATAAATTAATTAAATAATTTTCCATACAAACGCACTTTTTGCCTTTGTATTATAGATGTGCAAAGCGATTGATGATCCAACGACTGGAAATGATACGTTCGCGAAGTTATACGGTGCGGCTAGTGTCTACTATAACCACAGTGGAACTGCTACGTGTTTCGATCTTGACAATAATTCAGATCCTCACGGCCTTGGTGGATGGTCATGGCAGGTAGGTACTTAACAAATTATAGATTAGTCTCTCCTTGATTACTAATACTAACATTTAACAAAACATGGTAAAATTAAAGAAAAAAGGATTTCGTGTTGTAAGTTTGCTTTTTTCACATGACAACGAGAGTTATGAACGTTTTTAAGTTTCTAACTTCAGATAAATTTCATATACTTAATAACATTTTATCATAGATATAAATTATTAAAATCATATCCATTATCTATTATTAGATGGTATATTACAACTAAAAACAAAATAAAATTAATTAAACATTATAATTGTTAATTAATTAAAGTGAATGTTGTAATTTTTTTAATTTTAGTTAAAAATAAACCTTTTTTTAAATATAAATTTTAAAAATGAGAATTCTCCTACAAGTTTTGTAATTAAATTTGTATACATCCTATTACACGTAATGTAAATGTTCTCCACTAACTCATCCACATACACAAAATAAGGTAGGGATGAATACTATCATATACCTCAACTTCTTTTCTTTTCATATTTTTCAAAGTTATAACAAAGAGAGAGCATGTGAAAGAGAGTATCCAAGAAATGCATGTTCTTTCACATGCTAAGCTTTGTCCTTTTAATCATTCTTAATTCTTAATAATTATGATTATCTCTTTGCAACCAAAAGCGTCAAAATTGGATTTCCTTATCTTAATCATTTTTGCATGCCCCTTTTTGTTTTTGTTTTTTTTTTGATTTTTTATTTCATATGAAACACCTTGTTATTGATGCTCTTATTTCTCGTATAAGTGAGAAGACCAATCTGACTGTTATCTAATTGGCATTGATGGTATGCGTCTTAGTGAAGTATTACCATTTTTGAGCAAAAGCAACTTATTTTCACATTTGAATTTAACAAAAAATTTTTGTTGGCCTCCTTAATTATTATTTTTTTATATTATTTCTTGTAAAATGAGAGAGGAATATTAATTTAAATTGCATAATTTTTAAATCTTTTTTGTTTTAACCATTTGTATTTGAGACCCAGCCCTTGAATGTTAATTGCAGTCGCCCTTTAAAATGATTGTTTAATAGTCTATTTTGGTTGTGTTTGGAAATGACATTGTAGGCATGCACAGAGATGATACTGCCAACAGGAGGCAACAATAAGGAGAGCATGTTTCCAGCTTCCTCGTGGAGCCTCAATGATAGGGCCACTTACTGCCAATATGCCTTTCACATTCAGCCCAGACCCAATTGGGTACCTATTGAGTTTGGTGGACATGTGGGTACCCATCATTTTCTATATATTCATCAAAAATTCTTTTCTATTTTGAAACATTTTTAAAAAATACTTGAACAAAATGACATTTGAGTCCTCTCTTTTGAACAGAATATCAAAAGGGTCTTGAAAAGATTTGGAAGTAATATTATCTTCTTTAATGGCTTAAGAGACCCTTGGAGTGGTGGAGGGTAACTTCTTTTCCTTTCCATTCCCTCTCTATACATACTGTTTTTATCTTTTATCAATAATGAAATAACAATCCTTTCTCAATCTTTATCGGAATTATAGGGTTCTAGAGGATATATCAAAGAGTATAATCGCTATAGTAGCGAAAAAAGGTCGGTGGTTCAAATCTTGAATCAGAGAGTTATTTATTGAGCTAAAAAATGGTAATATTGCTCACAAATGTGTGTATGTATTGAAACAGGGGCTCATCATGTAGACTTGAGATATGCAAGTAGTGAAGATCCAAAATGGCTTCAACACGTGAGGAAAAGAGAGATCAAGATCATTGCAAAGTGGCTCTCAGAATACTACCTGGATCTTGCCCATACATCTTACTAAAGTTTAAATTAAAGCCCGGAGTTTTTTTTTTTCTTTTGGATTTGGAAAGGTTTGAAAAAAAACAAAGATTAATAATGTTGCAAAAAGAAAAAGAAAAGAAAAAATTAGTTCAAAATTCACAATTGGGGAAAGGAAGAAGTGTAATTCAACTGGATTAAACTTAATCTAGTGGTCTAGGCCCATTTACTTTGCTAAAGGTAATGACTTTTTTGAGTTCAAGAAAATTCAACATGGGTTTCAGTTTTGGCACGCGGCCCATTTTAGTATTTCTCCTTTTTTCTTTATTGTAGATAATCTTACAAAAAACTGTTGTTTTTTTTATCACAAATTCTTACATAGAAGGAGATTATTTTTATTTATTCGAAAGTCCAGTGGGTTGAAATAATATGATGAGCTATATAACATGAATACCCTATTTTTGACTCACCAAATTAGAGCGATGTGGACGGTATGTACAAAAGATAGGGATGTAATTAACACGATATGATAACTCACACTTGCAACTTACAACATCTAAGGACATACTTGTTACTTGATCTCAAATGCTATAGTCCCTCTATCAAACTAGTCACATAGGGTAAGGTCATTGTGGCACAGCTAGTTAGTAGAGGTCAATGGAATTAACCACACAAATCAATCCACCAACTAAGAACACGCATGCACCACCGCCAATAGAATTAAGAAAAAAACTCTCAATTTGTCAATCATTACTTTAGTGGTCCTTTAAGTTTCAATCAGCTATAGATTTTGATTAGAATTAGTATATAATTAGTATTGATCTAGTTTGGATTAGAATTAGTATAGAATTGATTCAGATGAAATCGAATTCATTAAAAAATTTAATTATAATTTTGGCTAAAGTTAAAGAGGTTGAATCTTATCTTCTATTTTTTTCTAATTGAAGGTTGAATCTTGGCTTAATTTCACCCAAAGGTGTCTCAACTCAGGAGGTCATCGCTTTAAAGTTAGGGTTTTAATTCAAGGGGCAAAAGAGAGATAATGGGAGAGGCAATATGAGAGAGAAAAGGTGAGCTCAACATTTTATTTGACACATGGGCGCTTACTTTGTGTTTTTAATATTTTTTAATTGACTCCGATGAGCCACGTCACTCCCTTCCAGTCGGAGTCCCTTTACTGTTACACATGTAGGAGTCGAGACAGTTTTATGATACAAAATTGAGATGGAAGATTTTAAAGTGATGAGCTCTGAGTTGAGGGACCTTTGGTGAAATTAAGCTATTGAATCTTATCTCATTTTTAATCATTTTAGATATCGAACTTAAATTAGCCTGAAAATGTTTGATTAAAAATTTAAAAAGAAAAAAAAAACAGAATAAAAGCGAACCAAAACAGATTAACATTAACTATAAACTAAACTAAAGAAATGAGACTAACATTCCACAAATTAACAACAAGTATTTAACAATTGCAAGTTGATAAATTTTAAGCTTTTGTTTGAAATGGAAAGGAAAGAAAATAATAAAATCTATTTCCCATTAAATAATGCAATATTTTCATTTCATTTATTTTTTTTTAATATGAAGAAATTCTAATTTTATGGGCTCGATAGGAGTATAGTGCATATTTTCCCTTCTTTGTTATTTTTCTCACCCTTTCTAAACAAAAGAAATTATTTTTTTCCTTATATTTTGCTTACATATTTTTTTTTCTTCCAAAAAATAAATCTTCCTTTCCAAATAAAGGGTTAATCTTAATGAATTCAAATCAATAAAAAAATACTTATTTATTGTATATTTAGGATAAAATGATTAGGAGTTTCATAAAATTAAATCTTAAATAAATTAAATATGTCCTTTCAAAAAAAAAAATATGTGTTTAATTTTTTTCCCTAAAATAATGATTAAAAAGGTTAATATAAAAAGCAGGCGGATAATTTGACTGTAGTTGAGTTGATTACTAAAGGCTCCATAATAACAGTTTTGTTGTTGATATGGCTCACTAAATCAAAAGATTTGCTCGCCATGAATTGAAGGATTTATATTAACTATATTTATAGAGAAGATAATGTTTGTGCATGATACACCTCGATATATCTCTCTCTCTTTTAAGTAATCATATTTTCAAAGAAGGAACTTAAGATATAAAATCTTCGATCTTTCATGATATTTATGGAATTTCTTACTCTAAATCGTGTTTCATATGTAATTTCAGTTTCTTTTTTTTTTCTTTTATATTTAAAAAAAAATATGAATACCAATATTGAAAATAAAAAAAAAAGGCTTGTCTAAAAAAAACACGATCCACAAGAGATTAGTCCTATGCAATAATAATGATCCATTATTAGAATTTAATTGCACATAATTATCTCTACTAGTTGCAGCAAATTAGCACTTTTTTTGTCTCAATTCATTTTAGCAATGATGATTAAACTTATTTTAATTTAGTTAACTTAACTTCATTTTATTTTCAATATGATCAAAATCTTGAAAATTAGTATAAGATAACAAAGTCAAATTTTTCTAACATTTGAAGCTAGGGCAAGCTTTCAAAAATGGCATCTTTGAATCGACTAGTCATAACTCATTATAGAGTTTTGAATACTTTTAGCTGCCCAACCAAGCCAAAAACAGACATACACAAACCACATTTATCCCTACAATAATGCTACTAATAGTCGGTGATTGCATTCTCCATAAACTTATTTTAATTTCTTATCTCTCTTTTTCCTTTTCCCTTTTTGCTAGAATTTTGTCCTTTTCTTTTCTTTTTTTTTTTTTTTTTATCTCCTCCTTTTATCCTTTTCCCCTTTTTGCTAGAATTTTGTTATCCTTTTTCTTTTCTTTTTTTTTTTTTTTTTTTGTATTTTTTTTTTTTTTTTTTTTTTATTTGCATAGTTAGTAACTATATTTAGACCCAGTCATGGTCTTCGATTGAGTTAAAAGTATTCAACAGGTTTCAATTCAAACTATTTTCGACATTTACATCCAAAATGGATCAATTTTGATAGATGTCAATCAATTGTTAAAGTCAAAGTTATTAATTTTAAATTTGGAAAAGTGATTTTAATGAATGAAAAAAACATATTGATATATACTATGATTAATAATTATGTGTCCAATGAAAAGACAAAAGTGTGTCTTTCTCATATTGTTTTCAACCTCCTCATCCTTTTTCAGATAAAATTTTTTTATTATGGTTTTAATTTAATTACAAATTTGGATCAATTCATATTCAAAATTTTGTTTTCTAAAAAGCTTAATATCAAGTTTGAAAAAGCAGTTTTCAACTTGATGAAAAAAAAACATGTTGATATATACATTCTGATTGATAATAAGGATGGTTAATGATTAGCATGTGAGGCCAATGGAAAGACAAAAGTGTGTCCTTTTGAGATTGTTTTCAACTTGAAAGTTAGGCCAAGAGTAGGACATGTGACTCATCCATTCAAACTTTTCAAAGGGATAGATATCATTAGATAGCTAAAGGGGGTGGTGGGGGGTGGCTCAACTCACTTTGAAAGTTGGAATGAATTGATACAAATGCAATTGACCCCCCCAAAGCTTGGATCACTTTCCATTTATTGATCACTCTTAACATTTTGACAAATGTTATTTTTCATAATTGTTTCAGTAATATAGCGTTTGAATTAGTTTTTAAAGATTAAGAAAACGTTTTATATTAAGAAACGTTTTTATAAAAGTTAATCTGTGGCTTTAAAGATTAAGAAAACGTTTTATAAAAAGTTAATGTGGCGTTTGAACTAGTTTTTAAAGATTAAGAAAACGTTTTATAAAAAATTAACGTTTAGCTTTTAGTGTTTCATGAAAAACTACTCAAACGACTAACAACTAAAACAGCTAGCACCTACTAAAACAACTAATTTTATTGAACAGACCCTATATACAAAACAGCTCAATCATCACAAATTAAGTCTTCTCTCCACATGATACTCGAGGAATCCACCAGTCCTTTTATTGGTAGCAAAATCGATCTCAAGTTGAAAGAGAGGAAGGAAGGAAGGCAGGCAGACCAAAAAAAAAAGTAGCATGCACTTGATAATAATAGCTCTATAGAAAATTAGAATGTGGTTGCAAATATCATTAGACATTTCTCACCTGGTAATGATGGTAAAGCTCGCATGTTACTCTAATTAATTAATACTAATGGCAAAAGCCATAATTAAATCAGTGTGCCAAAGGAATAGTAGCTACAAATGGTTCATGCAAATGGAGGTTTTTTCCATGCGGATTGGACTTGCTACACTGTAACGCGTGCGGAATTGGGGGGGCCTAATCCTGTATTTGTACAATAGATGGATGGCTCCGGTGTTGGGATGGGGACTTTCAACTCTCAACTGTTATATCACTATCGTCCAATTTCAGGCCGTTAACTAATTTGTTTTTTTTATTATCGGGCATATACAAAATTTCTGAATTTAAAAATTTTCCCATTTGAGATAATTGAGTTCTCAAAAGAATCATAGTTAAACAGAAATATGCTCTTAAAACCTCATTTTTATTTTATCAATCAAGATTATGATTGATAAAAATTGAAATGTGCATGTTCTTTCTTCTAATATTCTTCATGAAAATTCTTTCTAATTATTTATTAAAAAAATTACTAATAGCAAGAAAAATGCGAAATTAGCCTTAAATAGGAGTAAATTTGATGATCATGGAAATTAATTAATCATAATTAGAGAAAAATATACATCTAAGAACTCAATTTTCATTCAATCATGAAGAGAATATATATATAATTGAAAAAAGATAGGAAGATTTTTGTTTGTTAGTGTAAGAAGAGTGATGTCACCATCTATTGGTTACTAAATTATAGTAATTTTATTTAAAATTATTAGCTCATCTTTTCTCCTTTTAATTAAATTTAGGTCGCTCATTTTGAAATTTTAAATTTTTACACCTATGTTTTATTTTAATTTTTTTTAAGTATGTGATTCATCTCCTTTCAGGGTTTAATGGCTACTTAAAAAGCAACCGATATTTTTGCGGATTGACGATTTCAGGCCCTGTCCATAAATGTTCTTTTACAGATCAAACCTTAATTTTATAACGATTGCGCACTAAATTGAAGCGTGTAATTCCATTTGAGCTATTTTGTGTAGTTTTGTACTTTGAGATAGGGGGTGCCCATTTTATGGTTTTTAAAATCGGGACCCTTGGTTTTGAACTTGTAGAAACTTGAATTAGAACTGTGAAGAATCAAAATCGATTCGAATTGAAATTGAAACCGATAATCCACGGTCCAGTTCTGGTTTTCAATTTTCAAAAATTATGAACCGGTGGTTGCAAGAATCAACCAAAACTATTAATTTTGGAACCGTTAAA